AGGCTTACTTAATCAGTCTGCTAAAAAACAAGTAGTTAACTCACTGAACTTTAACCAGCTAACAGCTTTCGAGTTTTGAAAGGTAGGTCTCCCAATTGTGGAAGACCTAATTAAGACACATTGTCCTTGTCCTATTCCTTCTTTCTCAAAGAATCATTGGCTATATAGCCCCATCCTTAAGGAAAACCTCAGAGTTTACCTAGCGTAAAATTCTTTTAGGCATCAAGCCTCATGAAGCCCAGCCATTTGACAGCACAAGCAGGCAATCAGGCCATCGATAAGGTTAAGTTGGTCACAGTCCTTTGGGAAAAACAACATTGAAAATGATCAGGGAAATAAATCAAGGATTTCTGGCTTCTCTGAAAAGCACCCTGGCAAACAGGCTCTTATAAAGACTTACACTGAACAAATGGGAAGGGTTTTTTTTTCCACGTTTAACTGTCCCCTAGGCTGTTTTGTGACACTTCTTCAAACTTTCTTGCAAGCAGCATATTGATCATGTTGCAGTTCTATCTTTTTAACAATCCCTGTGGCTTATAAGTAGGTGATTTTCATTGGCATCCATGGAGCATGGGGTCCCACCCCTAAAAGGCAGGCTAGAAATAATTTTAAGTAAACAAAGCACTGTCTTCCAAAGGAATGTGCTTTGGGTCAGGACATTTGGCAGAACTATGTTCTGCCATGGATGGGGAGATTCAGAAGGGCCAGAGGGGCATTGCTCCCCTCTCCCTCTCCCTCTCTCTCTTCCTGGTGACCTAGATTAGGACACTGGAGGATCTGACAGTACCATCCTGTGCATATTTACTCAGAGGTAAGTGCCATTTTCTACCCTGTCTCAGTACGTATGTGGCCTAAGTACTAGAGTTTCATATCAAAGACATGGAGTCATTAACTCTAAAAAGAGTGGTGTTACTCCTGGTGATGTCTGAGAACAATTTGGTCATGTGTATTATTATTATTAACAATAACACAGGAAAATCTTCATAGCAAATAACCTTAAATATGCACTGCTTTTTGCAATTAAAGCTGAAACCCTATGTCTATTTACCTGGAAGTAAGCCCTATTTGACGCAATGAAACTTATGTCTGAGTTCAGGCACTTTAAATAGAAACATTTAAACTCTGCCAGCCCATAGGAAAATGTCCCTTTGCTTGTTTGATGCATAGCAATATGAGACATCCATTTCCCCACCATTAAAACTAGTTCTAAAATCACCATTTTGTTAATCGTGGAATGTATTTCCACTGAAAATGTAATTGGTGTCCACTCTCTCTGCATTCAGGAAAAGATTAATTACCTTTTACACGCACACCTTTCTAAATTGTTCTTTTTTAATGTTTAATTCGATTTTGCAGGGGTACATGACCTCATGTTTAAGAAAGGCAGTACAGAAATGCCTTAAAAATAAATGAATCAATAAGTAAGGCATTTGAAAGCACTTTCCTGTCTCCTGCAGAGTCACAAGTTTCTTGTTACTGTCTGCGGTAATACATAGTATCATCTATGGCAGTAGCAATATATTTTACAATAGGAGGCAATCCTAGAAGAAATCTTTCCACCGAAAAAGGAAGGAATATAATTTTTAAAATTCTCCCTCATTCTTTTAAAAGACCATTAAAATATTTTTCAGGGAAGAAGGGGAAAAATATTTTTAAATGTACTAAGAAAAAACAGTAAGATTTTATTTACAGATTGCTTTGAAAAGAAATGGATTTTTGTTTTTGAAAACATACTGTCACTCAAATTAAATTCTTACTTCTATGTATAAGTGCACATCAGACAATTCTGCAGTTCCTAAATTCATTTCCTAAATACTTTCGTATATCTGGAATGGCAGCTTTACTTTAAAGATTAACTAATTCTGCTTAAAAAAATTGTGGGAGTCAAGTGTTGTACCCAAGAATTCTCTTATTTAAGTCCCATTCATTTCAGTGGTTCTGCTCTAAGAAGAACAAGGATACAATCCCATGGGAGCACATGCTATCTTCTTTCTGTTCTTCCCCTTTTCTCTAGGTAAATCCAAAACATGATTACTTAGATTCATGTCCTATTAAAATCACCCATTTTTTTCTTACAAGGAAATAAAAATATTCTACTCTCAATCCTAAAATATTTAATGGTAAAAGAATGGCTTTAGATCAGTAGAGAATGAAAAAATAAAACACCACATATTTATGTTGCACAATACATATTGCCAATAAGCTTTAGCTTGTATATGGCCACAAGATTTCTTTTCAAAGAAAAAGTGAATCTAGCTCCAAAGACAGCTGGAGAAATTCAATTAAATTCTCTCTCTAGAAATTTTATGAAACTTTTTTCAAGTATCTCATTTAAATTATTTCTAAAATGAATTAAAAGAATTGACTGTTTTGAACTTGGACCTTTTTGTTGTTATTTATATAGCTTGAATCTCAATTACTTTTTCTTTATCAGCATTTCTTTAATAAAAGAAATTATAAGAATCCTACTATGTTGTTTATCAACAGCAGGAAAAGCTAAATTCTTTTTTGAGCAATGATAGTAGTAATAGTATTTAAAAATAGACCTTTCATACACTGAGGTGTGTGATTTTCAAATGCAGAAGTCAAAGCCGAGAAGATAGTTGGTATATCCACTAAAATGTCCCAAATTTTAATGCCCTTTAGAGCAGTCAGTGGTGCCACTGACTACTTGGGAATAAAGAAAACTTTGAAAAGTTACCAGATGGCTATTCAGTCTCCCATTCTTGATTAGCAAACTAAGATGCACGTCTATTCTAACCCTAATACCACTCATTGAAATAATATTCTGCATAGATTTGCCTAGGCTGAAGCCCCAAAATTCCAGTTTCCAGTGTCTTGATTGACATGTTCTACCCTAAGCGTAATTACCCAGAAGTGATCCCCACTGCGTATAATGGGACTCAGTCCCTAGTAAATGTGTTTTGGGATTGCTGCATTGGATGGTTATTTATAAGAAATGAAATAAAAACTAGTGCATTTTAATATCTCCTTTGAGCTACTGAAAAAGAAAAGTAAGATTGCACCAGTGACCGAGCCATCTGACTCAATGGGGTGCCATGGCATGGCTCACACAGGTCTCTTTGCAGCACAAAGACGGAACACTGCCAACCCATCGATTCCTGATCTTGGACGGGCAGCTGGCAACCTCCGAAATGCAGCGGCCCTCCGCAACCTTCCCCGCTGCACCCTCAAGCCAGAGCAGTGCTCGCGAAGCTCGTCACGCCGCCGACCCGGCCCTGCCCGCGGGCCCTTCCTCGCCCTTCGCGCAAATGGCGCGTTACGCGCAAAGGCGCGTGACCAGAGCGCCAGCGCAGCCTCCACGGGGAAAGGCGCCGCTTCTCTCCGCACGGACAATGGGAGGAAAGGCGCTTAACCCTTTCCCTCCTCCATGCCCACTCGTCCTAGCCACTCGTCCAACCCACGGAGGGACGGATGCCGAGGTGATGTTGCATTATGTGTGTGTATCCTCTCCTCCCAGGAGTTAAACTAATTTGTTAAAACAATGCTGGCTTTCCCGGAAAGGTCTTCCATTTTGCAAACATCAGACCCCTAGGTGCTTTGGTGGGGCGGATGAGGTGTGGAGGTCTTCCAACCACCCCTTTAGACTGAGGCCGAAAGGCAAGCCAACTCTATTCCCATCCAAAGTCAAGAAAAAGGGATTCGAATTTGCCATTCCATACATATAAGTGGCACGATCCAGCTGATCGTACAAAGGCTTCTGGAGACACAGTGGATTGGATCCAGACCTTGCAGTAGGCCTATTAAGTCAGCCCTTGCTTTCAGTATAGTTAAGGACTCAACCTTACAGGATATTTAGACAGAAAAAAGTCCCGCAACTTCCATCATTCTCAGCTGACTGGGGAATGCTGAGAACTGTAGGACTTGTTTACGTGCGTAGATTACAGACTTAGTTCTGGTTCTCCCTCCTGGCTTCAGATTGACAATTGCCTTGTAAGGAGAGGGTGCCGATCCAGCATTGCAGCTACTACTGAAAGGCAGTGTGGTGTAATGGTTAAGAGTGTGGGACTGGGACTCAGGAGAACTGAATTCTAGTTTCTGCTCAGCCATGGAGCAAACTGGGTACCTTTGGGCTAGTCACAGACTCTCAACCCAGTCTACCTCACAGGGTTGTTGTTGTGGTGCGAAGACTTACAACAGGAAAAAGATGTAAGCCATGAGTTCATTGAAAGGAAAAGGTGGGATTTAACTCTAATAAAATAAAGTAAAATAAAATAAAATAAAAACATGAGGGATGGGGATAGAGAGCAACTTAAGAGGCAGAAATGATGCCAGTGGCAGAAAATGGTGCCACCTCTTTCCATATAGCTCACCAACAAATTCGTTATTATTTCAATTCCTATTTGTTCTCAACAGCAGTTTGGAAGTGTTCATGGCATCCACCCCTCCACTTGAATAAAAACTGCCCTTAAGAACTATTGCTAGGATTGCACAAGAAGCCAAAGACTGACCACAACCCACGGAAATGTTCCCCAGTCCCAAGTTTCTTGACATGAAGCAGAAAATGTGAATTTGCGATGATGACTGTGTGGACTAGGACCATTCCTTTCCCAAGCAATTGCTCCAGAAACCTTTACTGAAATACAAATTTATAGCAGCACTTTTCAAGGTTGCCCACTCTTCTCTCCATTACCCTACGATTCTTAGTGATCCTTTTCCCATGGCCACTGCAATGCAATTCCATCTGTTGTTAGCTAGAAGATTAATAACAGTATATAATTATAACAGAGTATTATAGATTAGTTCTAATAATAAAGCTGATATTGGTTTTTAATCCAATATCCACTCCACTGTTTCCCTCTCTCTTTCCTGCTCCTAATTCCCCATGTAGTTGCAATTCATCTGTACTTCTTTGATTAAGCTCAGGGGTTCTCCCTCACAACAAAGGATCTTTCACAGTGCAACTCAGAATTGGGGACTGCGGCTCTGCCCCAGCTGATCGCCAAACCAACTAGCTGCTGCACCACCTGTGCTCTTACCTGCGCTGGAGGGCCGCACAGCGAGGGGAGCGGCTCGGCTGGGCAGGCAGTGCAGCATGGAGTTGTCGAAGGGGCTGGCCCACCCCGGGGTGCTGAACTGGGCGCCCACATAAGGCCCATAGTAGGATCCATTCAGAGACCGGAATTGCTCGCGGGGGTTGTAGGTGGTGGGCTCGCGGGAGGCGCCGTTGGTCACCGGTGGACTACTAGCTGGGTAGGCAAAGCGGCCAGAAGCTGGGTGGGCGCACCCGCCGCTGGGGGCACCATAAGAGGATGATGGGCTTTCAGGGCCTGCCTGTGGGGGCCAAGCCGATGGTCCTCCACCCTGACCAGCGCCTGCAGGACTCTGAAGGTAGGGGGACAGCATGGAGCCCACACGGGTGGTGGGCACATAGACAGGCGATCCAGCCGACTGCACGAAGCTGCCGCCGCCGCTGCCAGGAGACGAGCCATCGTAGGCACTGCCCTGAAGGCCTTGTGGGTGGTGGTGGGTGTGCGGGTGGTGGGCGTGCGGGTGGGGGTACATGTCCTCGACAGATGGTGGGGGAGGCTGGGCAGGATCCGGGCTCAGCTTGGCTGAGGCACGGCTGGACCAGATGAGCTTGTTGGTCTGATCCAGGTCCGCAAAGAGCAGCAAGTCCTCCCAGTTGGGCAAGCTGGACGGAGCTGCAGCCAAGGACACGAAAGGGCCCAGCAAAGCCCGGCCCTCGGTGAGGCCCAGCGGCTGCTGCGAAGGCTGCAGCACTCCTCCGGGCTCCTGCTTGAAGGTCCTGTTCGCGCAGGTGTTGCCGCTCGGGGAGCAGTCCGACGACGAGGAGGGTGATGGTGACGGACCAGGCAGCTCCCTGGGTACCAAGGAGCACAGCGAGTCGTGGGATGCGCAGCGCTTCAGCAGGCACCAGCCACCCTCAGCCAGGGCCATCCAGCCCTGCGGCGGGGTGCTCAGCGTCGGCCTGGCCTCGCTGCTGCTCCGGGGCCTCCTTCAAAGCTGGCCTCTAGAAGGAGAGAAAGGGGAAGGTGAATTAGCAACCGTCAGCAGCCCCTGGGACCTCGGTCCTGACCCACCTACCAATTTGCAGAGATGTGTAAACATGCCACTAGAACGAGTGCCCCTGGGCACGTGCAGAGAGCTACTGCCTTCCCATGGAGTAACCGCAGAGAGCATGCCCAAGATACAACCAACCTACATGACTTCCAAACCTCTCTGTACCCCAAGACGTCTCCTTTAAGAAATTCTCGGTTTGTCCCCAAAGGGTTTCTGATGCCTACAGCGGGGTCAGCGTGCTCACGCCGGAACAGCCGGGCCGACGCCAGCGGCACAACATCGCCGGCGCTCCCCTTTTACGACAGGAAAAGGAAATCTGAGGAAGCCGCTTCCTATCTTTCGACTCTCCCGACCAGATCCCATTTTCCCGCAGCCTCTGTGACCCCATCTATAAAGTGGGGCGACTGAGAGCTCCACGAAGAAAGAAAACAAACACACACCCAAGGGAAGAGAGAGGAAGACGGAGACCCAAGCCCTCTACATGATAAGCGCGGCGCCTCATTGGAAAGCTTGGCCGCAGTCCCCGCGCCACCGTCCCACCTCTTGGGAGTGCGCCGCTTCCACGCCTGCCCGAGCGCAGCCCGGCGCGTCCTTGCGCCTCCTCCGGGGACTTGCTCTCCACCCGCGAGGGAGCGAAGCAGAGCGGGGCGTGGACTCGGACGGGCCCCGCTCGGGCCACCCCCCGCCCCACGCGCACTCGCTCGCTCGCTCGGGTTCTGCCAGTGAGTCACTGGATTTCGTCCCAGAATGAAAACAATCAGTAATGCAATTAACAGGAGCGGGGGTCGCGGGGAGAAGTGGCGCGGCAGAGCCGCCAAGAGCGCAGTGGCGCAGCCCCCAGGGGTGCAGGGATGGCTGAGCGCAGCCCGGAGGGTTTGCGGCGAGGGGACTGCGATCCTGGCTCGCGATCCCGCGCGGCTGTCGCGTGCGCCGGCGGCCGAGAGCGTCGCTGCCAAAGGGGAAGCCGTGGAGCATGGGGGGGGGGGAGGCGGTGCCAGTCCGCGCCAAGTTGCGCCTGCTTCCCTTGCCTCCCTGCTCTCTCCGCCTCCCTCCAGCCTGCCAAGGTTGACCCAGCCCGTTCCAGGCCCCGGAGCGCCACGGCACACCTTAGAAATGGCACCCATCCACCATCAACACAGTGCGCAGCTCCTGGTGGCCGCTACTGACCTCCGCCGCCCTCCTCGACCTCTCGGGGGACTCATTCCCGCACCGGGACTGCCAGTTCCTGAGGCTGCGGAACGTGCGTGTGTTGGAGTCGGTAGAAAACAGCGAAGAGATCTTCTCCCTCCCCGCCCCCAGCCGCCGCCCTGCCTCTCGCCAAGTAGCCGACATCGGCATGGAGGAGCCACGCTCAGGCTGAGACGAGCGGCCACGTCGTTCCCTCCCACCTCGGCGCCCAAACGCCACGGCGAGAGGCACCGAACTCGTCTCCCTCTGTCGTGAGGAGAGATAAGTGGCCGATAAGAGCCCGGCGGCGGAGATAAGGCGGCTGTCCCGAGGAAGATGCTGGCGGGCGGCCACCGGCGAAGCACCCACCCCGCGCCCCGGTCGCACCTTTCGCGGGGATCGGGGTCCCTCCTCCGTGTCCGGCGGGCTGCGATCGGGCCGATCCAGGGAGCGAAGTGAGCTGCGCGACGGCGGCCGCTCCTGCGAGCAGCCGATGGAGATATGAAAGGGGAGAGGAGGCGCCTCTAGCAGCCCGGCCGGAAAAGTGCAGCCAGCGAGTCCTTGATTGGGTTCAGGGAGAGCCCTGAGCAAATATCGGAGCGCGAGAGAGCGCTCTTGACGGGGGTGCCCGTCCCAGCGCCAGGCCCTGCCCTGGAAGACAAGACGGCGCTGGGAGGAGAGGTAATGCCCCCGCCGGTGGAGGGGAGGGGGGAGGGGGAGGGAGGAGACAACCCGACCCCCCTCCGTAAGCCAATTAGGTGTGCAGAGAAGGCGCTTAAGCTGGCCAGTGCCAACAATCCCCCCCCCAAAAACCACCCCCGACAGCACACAAAAGCTGTGAATAAAAATGCGCGACACAATTCTTATTTTGCCATCGACGAAGCTAGTTGAAACTATTCCATCTTCCCTTTTAGGAAAGAATGTTTGATCTTTTTCAAGAACAAACAAAACAAAAAAACTCTTCTATGTTCAAAGACCTTCTGTTATCTGTGATACTTTTAGTTAATCAATTTCTAATTTTCTTTTTAAAACTTCAATATCATGGATGAAGCAGTGGATTTTTCTTCATTTGCTCTTCCATTAAGATGATCAAACATAATTTCTGATTCCTTTTTAAGGGGTTTAAAAATATTCTTTTCCCTTCGTTTCCGGGGTACTTCATATGTAATTGGACTATATATTTTCCCATGGCAAATTTGTGGAGTTTCTGCCACGCTTCGGGGGCAGGGGTGCAAGCTGAAGGACCCAGAGACACTATAAACTATATTCTCAAACGAGGCGTCCAGATTTCTCAAACGAAGCCCCCCTTCGCTGACTTTCTCTCTCCCTTTTCCCTCGTCTCTCCCTTCTCTCTTATCTTAACTGCATACAGACTGATATGGTACTTAGCAGGAAAGTGACTGGAAATTAAAATCACTTCTTCCCTCCAAGGTTATCAACTACATATCTGTCATCATCAGTTTGTACAGAAACCGAAAGATCTTGTTCTTGGGGCTGAACGAAGCTCATCCTGCTCGAAGGAACTCGCAGAAATTGTCCTTCCGACATACACAGGGCAAAACTACGAGAGCAGGCAGCTGGGGATGCGGGGAAGGGGGGGAGAGCGAGAGAGAGCGAGAGAGCGCTGCGTTGTTAGTCCTTCCCAGGAAGGTGAGTGAAGCTACAAATACACCTTGGTATAAAAAACACCTTGCTAGGTATAAATATTAATCACATTCCAGTATAAATTTCAGGGATATAGAGCTTGAAAAATACACTGAAACATACTACTTGCCTCATACGTTCCCTGTGTGTGTACTGCATGATACATACAAATTTAGTAGTGTGTGTGACACGTACGCACGCGTGCGCACAGATAAACCATGCAAGGTTACACACGTCTCCTCAGAAGGAAGTCCCATTGAGCGCATGGCGCCTTACTTCCAGGTAAATGTGGGTAAGACTGCAGCCACAAAAAAATAAGCCCGGATGATTTCAGTGCAACTTCCTTCCGATGACATCGAGGGGGGAAAAGGGGTTCCTTTCTGGAGATGGCAGATGGAATAGTATCGAGGCACAAATAGCGTCAGTCTAGTAAAAGGTGATTCAGACGACTAGCCTACAGGGGTGCGCGGCTAGTCCGCGCGAGGGAGGTGTTCAGATAACAAAATCGCGAAAGGGAGCCAGGATATTTTTATCGCCTTCATGTACTAACAGCATTTCTAAAGCTGCAAGCGTTCTGCTAACCCATCCTCCGGCGTCCAGGCCTCACAACTTCACTCCCTAAACGCATTTCTGCGGTGCGCCTCGTATTCACACCCGGAGAGCTCGGGAAGTCCCGTCGCGTCTGGAGCGCAGCGTTCCTTTGGTCGGCTCTTTTTGAACTGGGCGACGTGGACAGAAACCTGCAAGCATCGCTGCAGTCGTGCGAGCAAGGGAACCCGCGGGTGAAAAGCCCAGATCCAAGACCGATGGGCTCTGCTTTTCCGATCCAGCTTCCCCGTTTCGACGAAAATCTAAATGATTTCCTGAATAAATAAGCTTGGTAGTCTTCGGGAAACGGGGGCGTTTTGCTTGATTGAAATAAGAATAAACTACGCAATCCTATACAGTCTACTCAAAAGTAAACCGGTGGAGTTCAGTGGGCCGTTTGTCAGGTAGGTGCATAGGACTGCCGCTGAGGCAGCCCCATGCACCGTCGCCTCGAAGTGAGCCTCGTCGAATTCAGTGGAGGTCACTTCTGAGCAGCCGCGCACTGGATTGCGCAGCGCAGCACTGCTGGGCCTTGGATGCGTGCCCTGCGCCCTTTGCCCTTTGCCGGGGAAGCGAGGCGAGGACTACTTGGGCCTGAGATCTGCGAGCTCTCCTCGGACGGGGACCGGAGGTGATAAGTGGAAATCTCCACGCCCCATTACTAACAGCAGCTCGGTGGTTTGGCCGCCCTCTGCTCGGGGGCGGGAGAAGAGCGACGGCCTAGCAAAGGTCTGATTCTCCTCTAATGGCTCAGCAGTGACCTGCCTTTTAACCTCCACCCGCGAGCCTTTTTTTTTCATCGCACTTGAGCTGTCTGTTTACCTTACAGCCAAGACACTCTCCTCCTTCTCCTGCTTCACATTTTCTCCTCTTTTCTATGTGGAACTCTCATAGGGAACCTGCTTCTGGGTGGAATTTTGGGGGGAACTCTTTTCTATCCTCTGCTTTGCCCAGAAGAAGCCGGGCTTCGGGATCTGACGCCCGCAATAAAAGAGGAGAACCGCGGAGGGTCAAGTAGCCCGGGCAACCGCCTTCCACTCGACCGCTTTCGGCGTGGTCGGCACGCAGTAGCCCGAAAGGGGCGCAAGCAGCGCGTCTCCACGGAGGGCCATAACAAGCAGAGGCGAGTGGCCCGGGAATGTCCCCTTCTTGGCTCGTGTGAATGGTTCCTGTTGCAGGCATGTGAGCGAGGCTGACACGCCTCGTTCATTTCCAGCTATTGTCCCATTAGTTTTGTGGACCATGCTATGAATTGCAGCCATTGTTAGTCCCAATTAGAGTAGAGGCATTGAAACGAATGGAGCTCAGAATGGATTAACACTGGATATCGCCTTCTACGTAGCTCACTTTCTCTGCAGAATGTGCTCAGGATCGTCTCTTGAGTGTGCTTAGGACGTCAGCCTCACATTTGCACGCGCGGCTGCCACTGTTTAGGTTGGCTCATTTCTGTCCTTCAGGTGGTCCCTAGGAAATGAAAGTAGATGGTAGGAGAGCCCTGAATCAAGGTCGACTGTGTGAAGAAGTCACCAGCTTGGCCAAGAGCGCCGCGATGTTCCTAGTCTGGCACCAACCTTCCCCCACAGGCTGGTGCTCTCCTTCCCAGGTATTGGACTACGACTGCCAGTGTCCCTCAACAAGCCATGCTGAGCTTTGGTAGCCCAACGCAACTGACGGAGGGCACAGTTTCACAGCAGCCAGCACACGCCAGAGCCCCGCTCCCCTGCCGCCAGGACCCAAAAGGCTGCAGTTCCCAAAGCGGGCAGTCGATCCCCTGGCTGGCTTTTCGGGGAGTCGGATAACCATCTTGCGTGGTGGTTCTTTACGGATGCGCGTGTCTGTGAGTAGTGCAGGCACTGAAACGGGCGGAGGAGAAGGGAGAGAAGCTGGCGTCCCTCCACAGTGGTGGGAGCAAATGGATTGGCGAGCGGAGGGCGTCGGGAGGTGAGAGGAGTCCGCGGAAGTCTGTCCGCAGGTTTCTGGAGGAAGAGTTCATTTCCGCACGTGTGAATCCAATTAGCTGTGGCGAACCACAGGGCACCCCCTCCCACCCAGGCATTCGTCTTGCCCAGCATCGCACCACGAGGCAGAAAGGGGGGGGGGGTCAAGCCAACCAATCCCCGACATGAGGTAAACAGTCCCCGGTGCTTTCTGCTATGGATTCGGTTTGGCTGAGGACACATATGCACCTCCGTCACTCTGTGTTCAAGACAAAGACTTCCAGAGTTAGGACGTGGGGAAATAATTACAGTCGCCTCCCATCAGTCCATCCCAACAAATGCACAGAAGAGATTTATTCGGGTAGCATATTTTATTTATTTTTTTTATTTATTTTTCTATTTATATCCTGCCTCTTTCCGACAAAGGGCTCCAGGCAGCTTACATCATTCTCCTCCCCCATCTTATCCCCACAACAACAACCCTGTGAGGTAGGTTGGGCTGAGTGTCTGTGACTGGCCCAACGTCACCCAGTTGGCTCCATGGCTGAGCAGGGACTAGAACCCGGATCGTCTGAGTCCAGTCCCATGCTCTCAACCACTACATCACACTGACTCTCTTGTGTTGATGTTGATGTTCCTTTTGTGGGCCTTCGAGCACTCTGTTAGGTCTATATTTTGTGCCACCACATTCTTGTTCTTTTGGTAGGCTTCGATATTTGCAATTGCTTTCCTGCTGTGCGTGTCAAGAAGCGTGTAACCTCTCTTAGGGAGAGGCAGTTCCAAATACCCGGGGACATATTATGCTTACACCCCAGAACCCAAAGGCTTGAAAACTAAACATTCAGCCATACTGAAAACAAAAACTCCTTCTGCCTGCACATCTATATGAATGTGTCTTAATTCTGACAGGAAAGTTAGGATGGTGTGGAAGCATTGTTGATTTAAGAAAAAATAACCCCAAAGGAGGCAGGAAAAGAAATTCTTAATGTGTTTAACCCGCCTTTATACCTATGGTGTTTGTTTGTTTCTGTTTGTCTTGTACATTCTGTGGTTTTATAAAACGAACAAAAGGCTTTTACTGGTGCCAACCACAAGAAAGCACGTGTTTTTTCTCTTCTCTTCTGACTGAGGTCCAAATGACGGACATACACATGTGTCACATACAGCTGGCAGAAACTTGGAAAGTCTCACGTGAAAGTGTTTTAGCGTTCTAGTGATAAGATTCTGGAATGGGGTGCTCATATTCATATCCAAAGCTTGCTCGTTTCTTTACTTGTTGGGGCATCAGGGGGACTAAAGTCTAGAGGTCCTCCTCAGCAGAAGGAGGGGCTGCGGGGAACCGCAGCAGCGCTGGGCATCCACATTTGAAAGCAGCTGAAGTAAGATACATCATCAAATACATCCACACATGTGCATGCATGCACACACAAACTGAGCACATTAAGTTCAAAGTTTCAGATTCTCTA